TATACTGTTATAACAGAATCTGAACATCCCTGACATTCAACCTGTAGGCTTGAATTGGACCATTTCTACAGTACTACAAGTTATGTTCTTTACCCTGGACCATGAGTGCCATCTAGTGTTTAGGGATCTACTGGCCTGATTTAAAAAAAATGCATGACCTGTTTTTGACAATTTTCATTGAAACACCGGGATCAGCTTTAAACCAAGTAGCTAATACGGCAGTTTACGCAGCACTGAGGAAACACCCTTTACTTTGCATTTGCTTATTGTTTCAGCAGCGCAAACATCCAGATAGTTCACCAAAAAAAAGTACAATTCTACCATCATTTAATTACCATCACATCTTTTAAAAGACACAGAACTTACTTACTTTCTCAGAACACAGATACAGGATACAATTTTTTGTCCTTTTGTAGCTTGACAGCCCCTGGTCCCCATCTACTTTGATTTTTGAAGGAAAGAGAACAACTCAGACATTCTACTAAATTTCTCCTTTTGTGCTTCATGGAAGAAAGAAAATGATACGGTTCAGAACAACTTAAGGGTGAGTAAATGATGACAGAATTTTCATTTTGGGCGAACTAACCCTTTAATTTAGCTTTCCGGAAAAGAAACATATAATTTAATGTATAATTTCATGTCTCGTCTCTTTTTCCAGTAAACAAAAAAAAAAGTACTGTGGCAGAAGTCAAGTACCAGATGGGTAATAGCATGGAACTTAATAATAATAATTTTATTTTTTCACACAAGTAAGCTGGTTTGTCTTTAGTGTACATAATAATATCATGGTGTTCATGGTGAAATATATTCCTAACTCACTTCAGCCAATATCATGGCCCTGAATACAGTCTGTAAAACTCCACTGCCAGCCTGGCATTCACTTTTTTATGTCTTTTTTTTTTTTTACCCACATTACTCACATTTTGTCTGAGTCGCGTCACCATATGGTTTCAATTGGTCCTGTGTTGAATACAGAAGTAGGCTATGTGACTGAAATGTTTCATATTTTCCTTTTTCTATTCTAAGATGCATGACATATGCACTCAACTGTCTGTCCAATAAGGTCTAAACTAGTTAGGCAACTCATACACAAAAGTGGGTAGCAACAGATCTTTTCTTATGTACTGTGACGTACATCTGAGCGAAACAGATTATTTAAAAAATGTAGGGTGAGGACTTGTTTTTTTTTTTTTGCATTGACTGTTGATTGGATAGAGGCAGATCTGAATGTGAGCTTGCAGGAGATTGTGAAAAAGGGTTGGGGTTTACGTGAACAAAATGACTGGAGAAGTCTGGCATACATCACAAGAGAGAAGTCTGTCATTTCACTGGAGTTATGATATTTTAATGAAAAAGGTCAAATAAAAAAATGAACATTAAACATTTTATTTCATGCCTTCCTTAAAATTGGATAACTAAATGGATAGCTTGCTAATCACACATGAACTGTATATACTTGCATCACAAAAAAGTTTAATTTGAATGATTAAATTGATTTGTGCCATAACAGACATTCACTGACATATTTTGATTGTTGGGAAAAACAGAATTTGGATGGCTATATTAACACCCAATATTATTAGACTTCTAATCAGCAATGCTGGGTAGATTACTTACAAATTGTACTGATGTCTGTTACTGATTTCAAATTACATGACAAAAATTGTAGTTAGTAACGTAATCCATTACATTACACATTTTAGGTAATATAACTGAATCTATAAGCCACTTTTTTGTTACTTTTACATTACATTTGAACTCATTTGCCTAATTATCCAATAACTAATTAAAAATTAAAATCCTTTTAAAATAACAACACTAAAAAAGATTACATATTTTATTTGTTTACCTGCATGGGGGGTTAATGAGTTTAATAAAAAGCAAATAATTAATTAAATCATAAAAATGTAAAATTAAAATAAATAAATAATTATTCAAAATAAAACACTTACTAAAAAAATATATATACCGGTACATATTTTATTTGTTTACCTGCATGTCATGTGACCATTAACCAATATCAGAGAACCATGAACATGCAAACCTGTTACTTAACTTATTACCTTAAAATCTCACTAAATGATCATTCAAATAAAAATGAATGCGTTAACCAGTAGTTGATTCAATGTTGAATTAAAAATGTTATATAACCTAATTACAAGTACTTAATTTTTGGAATCTGATTACTTAATCCAGATTACATGTATTCAGTTACTACCCAGCTCTGCTAATCAGGCACTGAATAGAATCTGTCCACCAATGCAACCAACCAATGAATGTCAGCCAAAACAATAGATTTTATGGTCCAAGGAGGTAGGAATTTAACGGGGATCCTGATCCGGTCACACATGCTAAAAGAAAAACCCCAAGGAAAAACTATTTGTTGCCATGTTCAACTTGCCATGTATTGTACATTACACAAAAAAATAACCACACAAAAAAGTCTATCCCAGAGACTCTTGATAACTTGGTGTATAACCTGAACTCAAACAACAGGGACTTCAAACCCTAGTGCATCCACTACCATAACAGCTACTCTCCAGGGGCCTCAATTCTAAAGATGTGTGTAGAAGTGCTTTTTTTATTACTGTATTATTTTAATTACTGGTATCAGTTGGTGTATGCATAAGAACATTTTTGTGTCAGTTTCTGCCTTTACAAATCCAGATTTGTTCTTCACTTTTTATGTACGATGAAATCCATGGAATACTTGGGAGTACTTTTACCAAGGTACTTTCAAATCCAATCTTTTGTTTTTGTCCCAGTTTACAATTCAGGAGACAAATCCCAGGTCACAATTCAAAACAAATGTGCATACAGAACAGAAAAAAATCAGGTGAATGTTAATGCAGCTCTCACCAGCAAGATATTATGCAATAACCCCACCTGGTCCATTTCATAAGTTATACTGAAAAGAACAAAACAAATAAGCACCACACTGGTATGGTTAAATATATGGGACCAAAGAGACATTCCCAGTCCTTACTTTGCAAGCCAGCAATTCCATTTGGCAATGACTACCAAGTTGCACAAAATAAAATAGAACAGTTACCACAGCACTCAACGTTTCAGTGTCCAACCTCATAATATGGATGAACTATTACTGCATAACTGCTGCAGTGACTGTACAGTCCTAGATCAGTGCAGAAATGTTAACACCCATCCAGGGAGTCTACTAGCATGACCTGTTCTGGTTTAAATATTCATCTATTATGTGCGGAGACATCTGACATATTTTGCATGTAGTTCTTTCGCTTTCTGCTGAGCAGGCCAAATTCAATCCATTCTCTTCTTAGAGGTGTGCATGCATGAAGAGCATCTTAAAACTTTTCATATTATACCAAGTTGTTCCCCCATGAGCTCCATGTTCACCTTCGGATGCTTGCACAGCATGTTATCCTAATTTATTCTTCTGATACACTAAATAGTGATGAATACTAATAGATATGAAACATAATATTGACTTAGGGATTAGAGCAGACTTTGCTTTACATTGTGGCCAAGTTATTTAATGGAAACACCTCAGTGAGTCTTAAAAACCCAGATGAATCATACATTTAAAATATGACTATAATAACATGTTTGAGGCTTGATTCTCATTATTCTGTGCTTCAAAAACTGCTGTTTTGCAAAGTAACAATAACCCTTAATTTATTATACTAAAACTACCATGTTAATAGTAATTTTTGAAACTTGGTGCAACATTAATCATTCAGTAGCATGGTAAAGCACCATGGTATTACCATCTATCAGCCAAATAACAGCCAAACTTCTCACCAATTCTTAAGTTCTGGGACAAAGCAGTTGAGTTATGAGTTATGGTTTTATGACAGGTGGATTTAGGGGTTGTAAGGGGGGGGTTAAATAAATAGAAAAAAAGGCTATTTAAATTATTATTTGTGTTGAGAACGTTCTATTAATCATTTCGAATTAAAAGCGGAAATTTTTGAATACAACGGGAGGTGAAGTTGCATTAAGAATCACAGAATCAGAAAAAAAACGGAGTTACTGACCTGATTGGGGTCATCGTAAAACACACCGACAGACGACAACTTCGGTCCGACACTGCAGCTCTCCGTGAAAGCGGCTCCGCTGGCCTTGTACGATCCTTTTCTGAACTTATATGCAATCGTGATGTTTTTCACCGGAGGAGATCCAGTCCGAATAACGACTTCAGAGAAAAGCCCAGTGTAAAAAACGAAGCCCACCAGAGTTAAGATGAGACAAATAACCAAAAACAGAATCAGCAGTAAAATGACAAAGTCAGACATTTTTGCCCGGCTGTCAGAAAATCAAGCACAAAAACGCTCAATGTGTATGAATAGTTGTTAGTTGCTGTGATGGCACACACAATCAATCCTTCCGCTTTCCGAACAGTATCCGTGTCGCTCTGCAGATGTAACATTTACAGTATCTTTGCTTTACTGCAGGTCAGTTTACACCCATCTTTCAGTTTTGTTATTGACACAGCTGAGCGTTTGTTTATCCTCGTCTACACAGAAACACTGTACGGACTGCTTCCTGGATGCACCATGTGACTGTGACTCAGAGGGTTGGCTTGAAACGAGCCAACCAAATAATGATGGAAAGTCCGATTCATTTCTGCGAATCGGTTCTTTCGAACAGCTCGATTCTGAAACTGATTCAGTGATTCTCGGCGCTGTCAAATGTTGTTTTTAAAGTTTTTTCCCCCAATTAAGGTTTAACGTCAATTAAATTATGTACAATTGTCAGCATTTCTGTCATACAGTCAAATATTGGACAAGAACTTAAAATATTTAAAAAATTAAGGCAATTGACACATTTATTATTATTATTTATATTTGTATTGAATATGAAAGCAAATAAACAATTAGCATATTAAAACATGCAAATACAATTAGAGCTGTTCAAGAAAACCACTTGATTATAGTTAACTGAACATTGCACAACAGCTTTAATCAAAATCGTTTCCATTTAATAGGAGATAACAAATCCCAAAACTAATTTGATGTAATAATAAATCAACAATAGTGTACTGATCATGTGCTAATATATAACAATATTTGCTTTATTTCAGTCCGATTCATCCGATTCCTCCGCTTCTTCCTGTCCATTGTTCCTCTCATCAGAGTCGCTCTCCTGTTTTAAAACAGACTGAATTAAACACGAAGTGAAAGACATCTCAAAATCTCTCATAAAAGATCTCATGAGGAAATTAAACTCCCAAAACAAGCAAAGCAAAATTCATTACAGGCTATTAAAGGCAATTATAACCATGCTGTATATTTGCTTTTGTGAATTGCATGACACTGCATGATAACAAAATACTGCTGCTGAGCAGGTGATGAATATGTTATATGAACAGTTATATTTATATATATATTTATATGTGATATGAGAAATGAGTTTAAATATGAAAAGTAATACAACTATTAATCAAATGTAATTGAACTTATCTGTCATATGTGTATTTATTAACACAATGTGGTCTGTGAGGCCACTGTATCATGCATAATAATGGGAAATCATAGTATGTTGCAATGCCAGAAGTAAGGTATTCAGATGGTATTCAGATATTTCTGGAAGATTTTCAAAGTGGACATCCATGCATGCTATTTTAGCTAATATTACCCAAATCCCCTAAGCTAAACTGTAAAAAAAAAAAATACTCAGCAGAAAGGGTGCATTAAACTGATCAAAACTGACAGTAAAAGATTCCTATTTTAAATATATGCTGTTCTTAATATTTTGTCCATAAACATTTTTTAAGCACTGATAATAATAATAATAATAAATGTTTCCTGAGTACTCAATCAGCATATTAGAATGATTTCTGAAAGATCATGTGACACTGGAGTCTGAAGTAATGGCTGCTGAAAATTCAGTTTTACCATTGCAGGAATAAATAACATTTTAAAATATAAATAAAAATGTTAATTCAAATTATAATAATATTTGGCAACATTACTGTTTTTACTGTATTTTTCATTAATGCAGCCTTGCTGAGCATAAGAGACTTCTTTCTTAAAACATAAACCAAACTTTTCAACATGACCCTAAACTTTTAGTAATAACGAATTAAGAAAATCAATCTAGCAACATGCTAACATTTGATCAGACTATATATGTCCGTGCATTATGCAGGATAATGCAGTCAGTCAGTCATTATACCTCCTCTTCACTCTGCAGCTGAGAAGACTCTTCTTCCTCTTCATCAACTGCCTGTGACTTTTGTGAGAGAATCTCTTCACCCTGTAAAGCGAAGCAAAAAAAAAACATTTAGCATCACTGGATTATCAATAAATGCTACACTGTGCCCTTTTATAGACTTATGATATAGCTGTATAATTTACAGATATTATTATATTATAAACCTTAATAAAAAGTTTCATTTATAGTTTTATATATATATATATATATATA